GAAACACCACTATTATTCTTGTTATCTGTACTTCTGTTGTTTTTCCAACGATGGTCTGGTTCACCTAGAAGTTGCAGCCTCGCACTCACACCCGGTAGCCTCTCTTGTAGTTTTATGCCGGAGCACTTGGGTAACCTAATTCTCAGTTCCTGCTTTAAACAGCACATTGAACCAAAACCACTCCAAATACTCTCACATCGTTTTTTGGAATTAACACTTAATAATATTAACCAGCAGAGGGATATTTGTGCCGTTGAAAGAGACCATGCTGTTGTCCCTGCCTGAGTAGACTGCCTCCTATCCAAGCAGTTCCTCTGCGAGAGCGAGAGGGGCTTTGGTGGTTAAGGCAAAGACGAGAGTTGCGGTGGATGGAACCACCCCTACTCAACGGGTAACAGCCGCCGAGGCTGTTGCTGCCGTCCGGTTACCACCAATCCCGTCCGGGATGTACTTGGCCATCAGCGGTGCGACGACTCGCTGGCGGAGGCAGGAACAAAAAGGTTGAGGAAGGAGGCGGAATTGGGCCGGTACGACGGAAGGGTGTCGTCAAGGGTGTGCGTGTAGGCCAGCGTCGGGTATAGAGTGATTGCAGCACTGGTGTTAGCAGGGGTGGGTAAAACATTGAAGGAACGAAAGGGGGCGGAGTGCACCTCAATAAACGTATCGTCCTCGGCAGAGAACGAGTTCCACTCGACGATGCGCGGGACGTCCGGGACGGCTGGCAGCAGTGTCTTTGCGGGCGACGGCGCGGCGACGTGGCGGCGCGTTGAAATTGTGTTTGCCTTTGCCGCCGCGATAGCAGGAGCAGAAGCAGTTGCATTGGGGCTGCTGTCGTGTGCAGTATTGCGCGTCGGAAGCGGCCGCGGGGAGGATGCCAACGAAGACGAGGACGCCGACGAGGACGAGAACGGGGCCGCCGCCGCAGTGTTCGCGTTGGTGCGCGGTGCGGGCGTGCGCCGCCGGGCGACGGGCTGCGGCTCCTGACGGCGGACCGCGGCCCGGTCGGTGTATCGCGCCGATGTACCAAGGCCGCCGCCGGGCAAAGGGAGCGGGAGCGGGAGCGGTGCACCACCGCGGCCGCCTCCGCCAAAGTCATCTCCCGCGCCGCGTGCCGTCTGCGCCCTCCCCGCCGGCGACGCGTCGGCGCCTACTCCGCCTCCTTCTCCTCGCAGCACATCGCGCACCTTCGACTCGAGCAGCCAAAGCGCTGTCCCCTCGCATTCCCCCTCACCGCTGCCAGCGTGTTCCCGCCCACCTTGTGCCGGTGGCTCGTTCTCCTTGCCGTCTCGCCGCCCTCGTCGCCCGCCGTCCCCGTCCCTCAGTATCGCCTCGACGGTCACAAGCAGCGCATCCATCATTCCTGCATCGTCGTCTTCATCCTCGTCATCCTCCACGTCCACCTTACCCACGGCACACGCCATCCCCTCCCCACCCGCGCCCCGCCGCGGTACCCGCACCGCCTCCTCCCTCGCAGCAGCAGCAGCAGCAGCGGCGGCGGCGGCGCGCATCGCATCCCTCGGGCTCCTTCGCACCGCCGGCCCCACGTCCCGCAGCCCCCTTTCCCCAAGCACAGACCGCCACCCCGCGCCACTCCCGCCGCCGCCGCCGCCAATCTCATCATCATCGCCACCATCCTCCTCATCATCGTCGTCGACCCCCCCGCCGCCGCCGCTGCCCCATCCGCGGCAGCTAACCGAGTCCTCGACCTGCACCACCGAGCTCCATCCCTCCTCCTCGTCGTCGTCGTCTTCCGCCGTCACCAGCTGTCCGTCGACTCCGCCGCCGCCGAGCAGCCCGATCGCGGGTACCATCATCATCGCGCCGTGGCCGTGGCGGTTTCGTGACGGTGGTGGCGGCGTCTGCGCGTGGTGCTGCTGCTGCGTCGGCAACCGCGGGTGTGCCGCGCGCGGGGCAGGGAGTGTCGGCGGCGCCAGCGCGGCTCGTGTTTGGATCGGCTGGGGCAGGGACAGTGGACGCTGCGGCCGTTGATCGAGGAGATCGCCGTCGCAGGCGATAGTGACGTTCAGGGCCAGCAGCGGATGCGTCGACGGCGGCATCGCCGCGTCGGCCCTCCTCCTCATCATCGTCGTCGTCGCCGTCGGGGGCTGCCGCATCCGTTGGGTGAGCGGGTGGCACTGAATCAATGGGGTTTCTTTTTTGGTTGGTTTTTCATTTCCTCATTTTCAGACTCCGCTGCTGCTTGACACAGCATGTCCGTCCGCCCCGTTCGGACGGCGATGTGTCCGCGTCGGCAGCAAACAACACTCTGACACGACGACCGTCGCGGCCCTCTCGACAGCGACATGGCTCGGCACCAGCTCCGGCAGCCGCCGCTCCTCGTTGCCCCCAGCAGATGCGGCATCGCGGTCCACCAGCCAGCGCACTGCCGCGAGCCACGGCCCGCTCAACAGGTTCTCCTCTCCCTCCTCATCCTCTCCCGTCGCCGCCGTTGGAGAGACAGATACAGCAGCAGCATCTGCAGTAGTTGCAGCACCCCAAACATCAAAGACCCGAACGCGGCAAGGTCCCAGTGCACGCTCTGCACGGGCACCCCACTTTGCCTGGTCAAACATGCACGGCGCGATCGCCTGGCGCGCGGCGCCCAGCCGCAGCCAAGTCTGCAGTGTGCCGAGCCCGCCGTGGTGCAGCACGCCGGCAAAGCGCGGGCGGGCGATGTTGGCGTCGGCAAGCTCGGCGTGCAGCGCGGCGTGCGGCACGCTTTCCAGGACGCAGAGGAGGGTGGAGGTATGGGTAGCGGCAGCGGCCTCGCTGCAGAGCCGGTGAAAGACTGTGCCCGCAGCGGCCACGACGACCGCGCGGGCGCCGCAACGCCTCAGCGCCTCGACAAAGGCCGCCACCCGCCTTTGTGCACGATGCCGGCTCCGTCAAGTGCGGCGACATGCGGTCCATCGACCCGAAAGTGACGAGAACAATACCGACCGGGACTTCGTCACCCGCGAGCAGAGCGGTCACAGCGCCGCGCCACGCCAGGGCGTCCCCGCCGCCCCCGGCACTTCCGTCCTCGTCGTCGTCGTCCTCCTGGCGGCACCACTGCCCGGTCACGATCACGCCCTCTGGCAGCCTGCCGCCTGCGTCTATGGTGCCGCCATTATTGTCTACATCGCCATCGACAATGCCGTCGCTGTCGTGGTCCCGGACAGCCCAAGCCAGCACAGCCGGGTCCACGGCGTACAGCAGCGGGACGCGGCCGCCGTTCATCCACTCGCCATTGCCGCCCTCGCTGCCGCCGTTTGGAAAGAAGGGAGGCATTGCCGGAAGCCCCAGTACTGCCTCGCGGAACGCCTCGCCATGGTCAGACAGGAGCAGGCGCCACATCCAGTGGCGAACGTCTGCACGCAGGCTCTGCGAGGTGGCCGAGCACGCGGTGGTGGTATCCGCGGCGACGGTGCTGCGACCCGGGGAACGACGCAGCCTCTGCCGCTTTGGCGCCGGGGCCGCTCTATCGGTCTCGTTGTGTTCGTTGTCGTCATCACTGGTACCCTCTTCGACGCCGTTCGCGTCGCCGCCGCCATCGTCCTGGCCATCTCCGTTGTTGCTGTCGGAAAGGGCGCAGGCGAGGGCGGCGGCAAAGCCGCGGGGCATGCCAAAGTCTGGCGCGTAAAATGTGGAGAATGCGACGGCGGGGACGCCGAGGCGCTCGGCGATGCTGTACCCTTCTATACAGAAGAGGTTGAAGACGATGGCAGCGGAGCCGGCGGCGGCGGCGACGAGGGTGGCGCTGCTCCGTGCGCCGGAGGACGGACGCCGGGACGGAGGTGCCGCTCCGAGTCGGGTCGACGGCAGCGGCCGCCGGATGTTGGAGCGCGCCGTACGACAACGTGCCCACGGCCAAGGTCTCGACGGCGGGCGGGAACAGGAAGTGGAGATCGGCGTGCGTGGCGACGCGGAGTGCGACCATTGGCAGGCCGTCGTGGTCGGGGTCGGCGTCGTGGTTCAAGCGGTGGCTGTGGCGGCGGCGGCGGCGGGATTGGAAGAGGGCGAGGAGCTGCTGGGCGAGAGCGGCGGCGGGTGCGACGTCGCCACGGGTGCCGAGCACGAGCATTGTGACGACGACGGCGGCGGCTTCGGCGATGTTGGTGGCGGCGGCGGCGGCGGCGGCGGCGGCGACTCGTGGAGGCCGAGGAGGCGGCGGCGGCGGCGGCGGCGGCGGCGGCGGCGGTGGCGGCGACGGGGTCGCGGTCGGGGTCCGGGTCGTCGTCGTCATGGCGGGCGCGGGGGCAGGCGGGCGGTGCAGCGGTCTCACATCATCATTTTTCTGTTTTGGTGCTGCTGACATGGCACACACAACCCTCAAAGCTCAAAGAAAACAGGCTCGTGCGGGGGCTGGTGCGACAACAAAAATAACATCATGGCTGTTTGTCTGCCTGTCCTTGTCGTTGGCTGCTCCAACGTATAAAAACCTGAACAAGTTGGAGCCATCAGTCGTGCTCCCCTCATTCTCCACACCACACTCGACAGCCCTCGCCCCGCCCCCGCCTGTCCTTCCCTCGACTGCTGCCCTCCCCTTCCCCCAGACCCTGATGCCAATACTCTTTGATCCAGCAGTGGGGACCTGCAAACATAAACTGTTTTTTTTTGCGAGTTGAGCCACTGCCAACCCCACGCTGCCAAGTTTGCCCTTGGGGCCGTTGTCGCCTTGTCGTCGCTGTGCTGAGAGATCCAGTTGGTCTGGCAGTCTCGACCATGCAGGGCAAGGTGGGGAGGGGTGCAGGTTGCCAAACACCACGCAGAGACCAAATATATATTTGACATTTCTACCATTGCATTTCTGTTCAGCTTTTGTTGGGACATGTTCTGATCAGAAATGCCATGGCAAAGTTGTGATGACATGTTTGGTTGTTGCAAAACAGGGTGGCATCCAAACAGGCACGAAGCTACTTGCATCCATCTTGCTGCTCCCAAGGATGCGTTTGGAATGGAATCACATTAAATGGAGATTTAATGAGCTGTGGTTGGACATCCTTTACGAGTCAAACATACGCCCGATGTGGGGGTCGAACCCACGACCTTAAGATTCCCTTCGGAGCCCATAGTCCCTAAAAGTCTCACGCTCTACCAAACTGAGCTAACCGGGCTGCGCAACTGCCAATATTTATTAAAATTTACAATGCTTTGTTAATGTCGAAATTGTCAACTCCAGGCAGCTGCCAAAGGATGAGCTGGACTACTGGGCCAGTGACAGCAGGTAGCAAGCCGGAAGAACCTCCCTGCAGGAGTATAATGCCCTTGGTCACTTGCTATGCTCGCTCCCTTGCACAAGTCCTCAATTCAAACCTCAGTTGTATCCTTTCTTTCTTTCTACCTCTCAGCCACTTGCTTCACTTCGCAGCCTTGACCCTTCCACCTTCTTGCAATGCCAACTTCACTCACAACATCGCCTTCTGCACTGCAACTTCAACACTCTCTAATTCCTCACTCTGGGCTATGGGTGGCAAATAGAGCAATGACCTAAATACAAATCCTGAAAGTGAGAAAGGGCAAAAAGGAGATGTCTAGGGGTAACTGGACAGCACAATGTATTTGGAGTCTTCAGAAGCCCAAGAAACAAAAATGAAACTTTCTTACTAAACACAAAGAGAAGACTCTCACACTCAGACCAAAAGCAAAGTGAAAAGGTGGTACCCTAGTAAAGAATGTGCAGGGTTCTCTGGTCCATGACACAGAGTTGGCCCAATGGGAGGCAAAAGGTCAAAGCCAAATGTTGAGATTTGAGCCTAGGAAGCCAGCTTCCTATGTCGACGGTATCCTCGTCGCCGCCGCTGATGCGATTTACGCAAAGCCAGGTAAGTCAAAAGGCCTAATCTGAATCCAAAAAAAAGAGTTAGGTGAAGACGGCGGTGATTCTAGCTTTGCTTTCCAAGGCTTCGCCGGCGAGGACAATGCGATTAGAATCACACTCAATGGGTTCAGAGAAATGTTGAACCAGGGCAGCTCACAGCAGCTCCAGGTCACCTGACTTTTGTCTGAACCAATGTTGAACCAGGGACTGGTTGATTTGAAATGCCCCTGATGATTTCAAATCATCTTTCCTCTGTGGGAAGACTGGTCACTGCACACAGACCTCTGGACAGACCTTTTGGTTGATTTGAAATGCTCCTGAAGATTTCAAGTCATTTTCCCCTCTCTGTGGGGAGACCGGTGCTTGCACACTGGGCTCCACACTGTTATGAATCCACCCTCTGGAAACCTCTGGAACCTTCTAGAACATTCCTTCATGGAACCTTGTGGAACCTTCTGGAACCTTCTTTGCTTTCCTGACTTGTCTTGCTGTCATTGGTATCATTGGTAACATTGTATTACTAATGCTCTTTCTGGAACTTTCTTTGAGTCTTGACAAGGAAGACTCTCAAAAGGTATAAAAGGGGGATGGGGGACCTGTCCCATCCCTCAAGTGAATTATTGTTTCCAATACAATCATCACTCCTCTCAGCTCCTTGTCTGCCTTTTCCTGTCCTGCCCTGTTCCTGACACACACAGAGCTTGGTTGATTTGAAATTGTGTGCAACACCCTTTGTCTGCTGTGCAGAGACCTCTGTCCAGGCATTCAGACACCCAGTGGTTGATTTGAAATGGTCGTGATGATTTCAAATCATCTTTCCTCTGTGGGAAGGCTGGTCACTACACACAGACCTCTGGACAGACCTTGGTTGATTTGAAATGCTCCTGAAGATTTCAAGTCATTTTCCCTCTCTGCAGGAAAACCAGTTGCTTGCACACTGGGCTGCACACAGAGCTTGGTTCATTTGAAATGCTCTATATATTTCAAATCACCCTCCCTCTGTGGGAAAGGGTTTACAACACCTCCCCAGAGCAAAGTCCTGTCTGAAGCAGCTTGCAACTTGTTCAGAAAGGCAAAACAGGAAAACTGGTCAAACTCCCTGCAGGAGCATAAATTGGGCAGAGTTTTCTTATTGAAAAAAAAAAGAACACTCTCACTCCAATTTGCCAGTCCCTGTCTAAAACCAAGTTCTCTTTACCCACTTGCCCTTGGTTGCTTGCTATGCTTGCTCCCTTGTAAAGTTCTCCATTAAACCCTCAGTTCCTCGGCCCCTCAATCTTCTTGCGACACTGCCTCCACTTACGAGGTCGCCTTCTACACTGCAATTTCAACACCAAAGGACTGGGAAATCCAGTAACAAAGCGAAGAAGAACGGGGAATACTATGGCCCAGAACTTGCTATTGTCAAACCTGGATATAAGAAGCTGAGATTTGATCGATCAGAACTGAAGGATATTGCGAGTAGGATCATGCGGCGACGGCAAACTACACTCCAGGCAGATAATCTTGCAATGAACTTTGTCAGGGTAAGCGGCAAAATGAAAAGTATGATTGGCTAATTAAAGCTCAGCTGTTTCTTGAGAACAACCAATCAGAGCTGGAGAATTGGATTCTCATGGATGTGGTTTCTTGTGGCCTCATATCGGATTTCGTTGAGAGTGATCCAGTTTTGCGTTTTCATTAATTTTCATTCCTCCTTCCTTTCAATTTTCTTCAAAATTTTTCTTCCTTCCTTCTTCCTTTCTTATTTTCTTGTCCTGACGCCACTCTCCCCATAAATAGATGCCCTGGGAAAAGCAGCCTCATTAATCTTAACTATCTTTACAACTGGAGCCCCAACCTTCAATAAATGCTATCTCTAATAATTAGATTTGTATTACTCCAAGTTTCTTCCCTTCTGCCTCCCCAACATTGCTGTCACAGGCTTGATAACTGAATCTCACAGGTAACTCCCATAAAGCGAAATGATTAGGGAGAACCTCTGACCGTCCATAGAGCGCCGTCGACGACAGAGTGAGATAGAAATATCATAGAATGGTTATGAGTTAGAGTTCCCTGTAAAGTAGAGGTGGGATGCTGTTGAGTATTCCACATTTGCAGATGCCCTGACAGGAGTGTAATGTCGAATGAGTGAGTCTGATAGTTGGACCTATGCTGTATCTGTGAAGGTGTTGAAGTTGCAGTGTAGAAGGCAAAGTCGTGATCAAAGGCGATGCCCCAAGAAGGTAGAAGGGTCAAGCCTGTGAGTGAAGCATGTGTGCACAACTGGGTGCAAGTGAGCAAAGAGAGCTCGATTTAGACAGGGACTGGCAAATTGGAGTGAGAGTGTTCTTTTTTTTTCAATAAGAAAACTCTGCCCAATTTATGCTCCTGCAGGGAGTTTGACCAGTTTTCCTGTTTTGCCTTTCTGAACAAGTTGCAAGCTGCTTCAGACAGGACTTTGCTCTGGGGAGGTGTTGTAAACCCTTTCCCACAGAGGGAGGGTGATTTGAAATATATAGAGCATTTCAAATGAACCAAGCTCTGTGTGCAGCCCAGTGTGCAAGCAACTGGTTTTCCTGCAGAGAGGGAAAATGACTTGAAATCTTCAGGAGCATTTCAAATCAACCAAGGTCTGTCCAGAGGTCTGTGTGTAGTGACCAGCCTTCCCACAGAGGAAAGATGATTTGAAATCATCACGACCATTTCAAATCAACCACTGGGTGTCTGAATGCCTGGACAGAGGTCTCTGCACAGCAGACAAAGGGTGTTGCACACAGACACAAAAGTCAGCTGACCTGGAGCTGCTGTGAGCTTCCCCAAGTTCAATATTGGTTCAGACAAAAGTCAGCTGACCTGGGGCAGCTGTGAGCTGCCCTTCAACATTTCTCTGAACCCATTGAGTGTGATTCTATTCGCATTGTCCTCGCCAGCAAAGCATAGGAAAGCAAAGCTAGAATCACCAACGTCTTCACCTAACTCTTTTTGTTGAATTCAGATTAGGCCTTTTAGCTTACCTGACTTAGTGTAAGTGGCATCAGTGGCAGCGATGAGGCTGCTGTTGACACACGAAGCTGGCTTCCCAGGCTCAAATCTCAACAAGACCAGTGCTGCAATCCCAAGTCCACGGCTGAGATGTTCAAGACCCACTGAGCTACAGTGGGTCTAAACTCTGGGTGCATCCTCTCCAGCTGCTCACCCATCCCTGGGCATTCCAAAATGTGCCTCCACATGCATTTCTCCACACAGTCTGTCTGTGCACACTTTGGTGAAAAGCCACCAGCCCACTATCCCAGTGATCAAATCACTTGGCAAGGACTTATGTGGTCCAGCACTTCCAGAGACTGTGCCACCCATTTCGGAGGATTTGTTGGAGTATACGCAAATTGATAGTACTTTATTCATGATCCTCTGACCCTGCTTGTTTTGCTGTGTGCCGTGAGCGATTGATGGCTGCGACGGCAGCAGGAACTCAGTTTGTCGGAGGGTGCGAGCCGCAATAGCTGCTGTGGCAAAAGCCGCATCAGAATTTTGGGGGACTAATTGCAAATACCTGGGTTATTTGGAGGCGTTTGCGCAAAGACACCAAAGTACATGTATATCTGTTTTCAGGAATATCCATTTGTTGTGCTTCTTCGTTCTGGCCACCTACCCATAATTACACACAGGAACAAGAAAAGAAAACAAATGTTCCATAACAATCCGTTATCATCCCGCCCAGATGATAACTCCTTGTCAAACAAGAAGCATGAAGGGTTGATCTAGGGACATTTTACTCTGAAGGCAGCTTCCTTAACTACCCACTGAGCTAAGTGTTAGGCGGAACTGACGCCATTGTGCAGGGGGGTGTTAGGCAGAACTGACTGGTTAGCAGCAAGAGGCAAAAGACAGACCCAAACCTATTGTGACTGTCAGTTATTGTTCTCATGATGCCCATGGGAGAGTGAGCCACCGCCAATGTAGACCTGGGTTGGCTTGCGCTGTTGACAAATACCCCAAGTATCTAGTGGAACGGAAACCGGTGTTAACAATTTTCCTCCTCCTCGGCTCAAGCAGATAATATAGGAGACGTTTTTACCCTGTGGCAGTCACACTTGCCTAGCAACTATTACCCTTGTGCATATCATCATTATGTATCAATAATTCATAACAGAGTTTTTCTATTTCTCTCCAAGTTGGGGAGAAGGACCACCCACAAACACACATCTCCACTACATTCACTCCTTCCACTCACTCACTCAGAGTAGACTTTTTACAGGGAGCACCAAAAAAGGAATGGGTAAAAGTTTCCAAACCCACCTGGGCAAATCCGAAAAA